AGCAGGGAGCCCGATGCGGGGCTCAATCCCAGGACCCTGGGATCATGACCTGAGCCGAAGGCAGACGCTTAACGACTGAGCCACCCAGGCACCCCGAAAAAGAATATGTTCTTAACAAAAGAATGAGATAAACTCAAACAGACCTTAATGAAACAGAGATAAGGACTTTGAGGAAGACTTAAAAATGGTGGTCATAAAGATGCTCCCCAAGGTCAGGAGAACAATGCACAAAGTAAGAATCTCAACAAAAAGAAAATACAAGAAAGTACCAAACAAAAGTCACATAATTAAGAAATATAATAACTAAATTGAAAAATTCAATACAGGGGATCAACAGCAGACTAGATGAAGCAGAAAAAAGGATTAACAAACTCAAAGAACCGTGGAACTTACCCAAACAGAGGAGCAAAAAGAAAAATGAATAAAAAAGAACGAAGATAGCTTAAGGGATTTGTGGGACACCAGCAAGTGGACCAATATTCACACTATAGGGGTCCCAGTAGGAGAAGAGAGAGAAAAAGGCCAGAAAGCCAATTCAAAGAAATAATGGCTGGAAACTCCCCTAACCTGGGTAAAGGAAACAGACATCCAGATCCAGGAAGCCCAGAAACTTTCAAATAAGATGAATCCAAAGACCCCACGCTAACATACATTATACATAAATTGTCAAATTTGAGAGAATCTTTAAAGCAACAAGAGAAAAACAACTTGTTATGTACAAGGGAACCCCCATACCACTATCCTTCGATTTTTCAGGTGAACCTTTTCAGGCCCGAAGGGAATAGCACAATATATTCAAAGTGCTGAAAGAGAAAAACTGCCAAGAAAAACTATTTTACTCAGCAAAACTGTCCTTTGGAACTGGAGAAATAGTTTTCCACACGAGCAAAAGCAGTTCATTAACACTAGAACAGCTTTACAAGAAATTTTTAAGATGCTTCTTTAAATAAAACGTTGCAGTTTAGTAATAGGAAAGCATGTGAAAGTACAAATCTCACTGGTAAAGGTAAATATATAGTTAAAATTCAGAAAAGTCTAATGTTGTAACTGGTGTGTATGTGCATGAGCAGAGGGAAGGGCAGAGGGAGAGAAGCAGACTCTCTGCTGAGTGTGAAGCCCAATGTCAGGCTTGATCTCACGACTTGAGCCAAAACCAAGAGTTGGACACTTAACTGAGCCACCAAAGCTCCCCTGAATTCAACTGTATAGTGAAAGGATCACACACCATAATGAAGTGGAATTTATTCCAATGCAAAGATGGCTCAACATCCACAAATCATTATGACTCGCCACATTAACAAAATGAAAGATAAAAATATCATCAACAGATGCAGAGAAAGCATTTAACAAAATTCAACATCTATTCAGGATAAAAACTCTCAACAAACTGGGTATAAAGGGAATGTACCTTAACATAATAAAGGCCATATTTGATAAGCCCACAGCTAACATTATGCTTAATGGTGAAAAGCTGAAAGGGTTTCTTCTAATTTCAGGAACATGACAAGGATGCCTACTCTTACTACTTTTATCCAACATAGTAGTGGACGTCCTAGCCAGAGCAATTAGATAAGAAAAAGAAATGAAAGGCATTCAGGGGTGCCTGGCAGGCTCAGTTGTGCAGCATGTGACTCTTGATCTCAGGGTTGTGAGTTTGAGCCCCACGTTGGGTGTAGAGATTACTTAAAAATAAAATCTTAAAAAAAAAAAGGCATTGAAATTGAAAAGGAAAAAATAAAACTTTGTATTTGCAGATAACATCATAGTAGTTATAGAAAACTGTAGAGACCCCACCAAAAAACTGTTAGAATAAACGAATTCAGTAAAGTCGCAGGATATAAAATCAATATACAAAAATCAGTTGCTTTTTATATGCTAAGAACTAGATGTTAAGAGAAATTAAGAAAACAATCCCATTTACAATTGCTTTAAAAAGATACTCAGCCATAAAAAAGAATGAAATCTTGTGATTTGCAACAACATGGATTACGCAGAGTAGAATGCTAAGTTAAATAAATCAGAGAAAGATAAACACCATATGATTTCACCCATCTGTGGAATTTATAAACAAAGAAAAAAGACAAAAACACAGACTCTTAAATACAGAGACCTGGTGGTTGCCAGAGGGGAGGTGGGTGGAGGATCGGTCAAACAGATAAAGGAGATTAAGAGTACGCTTATCTTGATAAGCACTGAGAAATGTATAGCATTACTAATTATTGAATCATTATATTGTACACCTTAAAGTAATTAACACTATATGTTAACTATACTTGAATAATTTAAAAAAGAATAAAATACCTACAAATAAATTTAACCAAGGAAATAAAAGACCTATATACTGAAAGCTGTAAGACATTGATGAAAGAAGACACAAATGAGAAGATACTCCATGCTCAAGAATTTAAAGAATACTGTTAAAATGCCCATACTACTCAAATTCATCTAGACTCAATGTAATCCCTATCAAAATTCCAATGGTATTTTCACAGAAATAATCACAAAATTTGTATGGGACCACAAAACACCCCAAATAGCCAAAGTGATCCTGAAAAAGAACAAAGCTGCAGGCATCACACTTTCCGATTTCAATCCATATTACAAAGCTATAGTGTCAAAACAATATGGTACTGGCATAAAAGACACACAGATCAACGGAACAGAATACAGAGCCCAGAAATAAACCCACACATACATGGTCAATTAATTTACAGCAAGTGAGCCAAGAATATACAATGGGGCAAAGAGAGTCTAATAAATGGTGCTGGGAAAACTGGACAGCCACATGCAAAAGAATGAAACTATAACTTATCTTACACCACATGCAAAAATCAAAACGAATTAAAGATTTGAATGTAAGACCTGAAACCACAAACTTCTAGAAGAAAACAGTGGGTAAGAAAACAGTGGGTAAGCTCCTTGACATTGGTCTTGGCAATGACTTTTTTGGATTTGATACCAAAAGCAAAGACAACAAAAGTAAAAATCAACAAATGGGACTCTATCAAGCTTCTGCACTGCAAAGGAAACTATCAACAAAATGAAAAGGCAACCCACCGAACAGGAGAAGATATCTGCAAATCAGGTATCTGATACAGAGTTAATATCCAAAATATATAAAGAACTCATACAACTCAATACCAAAAAAAACCCCCAAAAAACTATCCAATTAAAAAATGAGCAGAGAAACTGATAGTTTTCCGAAGATGACCTACAAAGGGCCAAAAGGTATACGAAAAGGGGCTCAACATCACTAAATGTCAGGGAAATGCAAATCAAAATCACAATGAGATGTCATCTTACAGGTTTAGAATAATGGCAATTATCAAAAAGACAAAAGATATCAAGTGTTGGAGAGAATGGAGAGAAAAGGGAACCCTTGTGCACTGTTAGGTGCAGCCACTATGTAATACAGTATAGAGATTACTCAAAATATTAAAAATACCAAATGACCCAGTGATACTACTTCTGGGTACCCAGCAGTGAAAAGAAATCACTACCTCAAAAAGATACATGCACCCCCATGTTCACTGCAGCATTATTTACAATAGCCAATATATAGAAACAACCTAAGTGCCCACTTACAGATAAGTGGATAAAGAAAAAAAATACATAAAAGAATTATTATTCAGCCATAGAAAAAAAGGAAATCCTGCCATCTGTAACAACATGGATGGGCCTTGAAGGCATTATGCTAAGTGAAATAAGTCAGAGAAAGATAAATAATGTATGACCTCATATATATGTGGAATCTAAAAAAACCAAAGTCATAGATACAGAGAATAGATTGGTGGTTGCCAGAAGTGTGAAGGTGATCAAAAGGTACAAACTTCCAATTATAAGATAAATAAGTTCTGGGGATATAATGTCCAGCATGGTGGCTATAGTTAACAATACTATATTGCATATTTGAAAGGTGCAAAAAATCCCATCTTAAAAGTTTTAAGAAAAAATTTGTAACTATGTGAAGTGATAAATGTTAACTAAACTTACTGTGGTAATCATTTATATCAGTATCAATATATAAATAAATCATACTGTATACCTTCAGTGAATACAATGTTATATGTCAATTGAATTTCAATAAAATAAAAAATATCAATAAAAAATAAAAACAGGGATAAGAAGATACAAACTTTGAGAGCGTTGTTTCTTTGAAGGAAGGGGAAAATGGACTGTGGGGAGTACAAAGGGGATTTCAACTCTTATTTTTAATTGCAAAAGGTATAAAGCATATATAATTATTAGCACACCTGCTTTTAGATGGTGAAGATGTAAGTATTATTATTTTTGCTCCTTTTACATATTTCTGAAATATTTAAAATGAGAAAGCCAGTCATACACAAATGGAAGTCCCTAAATGGATCCCTGGGACATCCTTATCCTGGCTTCTCTGGGATAAGTACCTGGCCTTCGATTCTTCGGCCCATACTCCATGATGCTGTCACTGTGCTGAGATAGTGTTTCATCCTTCCTACTCTCCATCTCTTCATTTCCAATATCGTCTTCTTCATAGTCAGTCTTTTCTTTAATTCGATCACCCAGGGCACTCTTTAACATCTACTGAGAAAATACTTTTCAACACTTTTATTGATTTCAGCAGAATGCAAGTTGGAAAAAGTAGACAGAATCCTTAAAAAGCTTCTCATAATTAGGCATGAATAATTTTCAGATGCTTATGCATATTTAGTTTCTGAAGGGTGTATATCAGTGCTATGGACTATTCAGTTTCAATAAACTTTAGAGTAAATCACATAAGGATTTAATACATGTATTCAATGATACCCCCAAACTGTAATACTGGATTTTATGAGAATCAAGAGATCTAATTTTATACCAACTCTGTCTTAGGTGTATCTAAAAGATTTTAATGTAATCACTTAAAATGATTAGTTTTCATCAGAATTCAATAAAAATCAGGATAAATCCATACCAAATTTGGTTATATCATGAAAGGCTACGTAAGAGATGACTTCTCATCCTGTGTCCTACCTGCCTGATTTATGGAACATTTTCACAATAACTAAGACACAACTAATTTTAGTACCTTAGCTTAGCTTTCATCTTCAATTAGAAGATCACTTAAATACTCACCAACTATGGCAATCTCAATATAGATAAAAAAACAAGACTTACCCAATCTAGTTCAGAGAGCCGTTGAGAGAGTTTCTTGGAAACTGAATGTAATTCTTGTTCTGTTAACCTCTTTCTTGGCCTCTGGGAGACGGCTG